AGAATTATCGAAAACGTTCAGACGTATAAATTTCATCTTTACTTCAATTAGCAAGCCCTATTTCTAAGTGGTTGGGTGGCTGTTATGTTTTTAACAAATCTTTTTTACAAAACGAAACAGTGTTACCACTCACCTTTTACTGTTATAGACCCTATGCTAGGATATTCAAATAATTTTAGAAAACAGACAACGAAGCTTCACAAAATGGCGTCTTTATACAGATTTCTCTGACTAACGACGAGAGATCAGATCCTCACAAGTTCCCATGGAACTTCAAATGGAGACCTAGGGACTGATAGTATTGAATGCTGATTGCGATTATCATATGCAGACTAAAAGTGCTACGGGGATCTCTCCAATGAGTTCTGGATGGTCAAAGTTGGCTATAAATGCAGTGTTGGCATGTTAGCGACCATATGCCAGTGCTACCGGGCCCAGTGGTAATGGCCTCGCTTAGCCAAGAGCCCATGGGTCTGCCTCGTTCGTGCGAAAGTTTTTGTTTTGTCTCCCGCAAGAGCTTTCACTCCAATTTCCAACATCTCTCCGAGCTAATGATCCAATAGAGCGAGCAAGTCAAGTATTTGACGTGGCAGAACAAATATGGAGTTAGTCACCATCGATCCCCTTCGGTAGGGCACGCCATCGTTGTGGAAATCACAACGGGAATCGTATTTGGGCATGGAAGAGGGGAATGGCAAGCGCAGGGCTAATTCGGAAGTAGGCGAAGTGAAACCCAGATGTCATACAGCCACTGAGTGATAAAAGACTTTCTTGTGGTGAAGAACACTAGAAAAGACCCTAAAGGCAGAGGCTAGTCGCAAGCTCAGAAGTGGGAAACAGGAGGTAACAAGAAGTACGGTGGCTATCCACAACGACCTCATGAAATAATGAACAAATAAGCCGCCGGAGCACATCTGCTTGCACGGAGAAAGCCTTATCTGGTAGTTACACCTTTAAAGAACCTCGCGTGGGATTCGTATGCACGGCGCATTATAGAGTTGATTTTAATGGGCGCCGAATTAACTAATCCATAATAATTTTGACGATGATTTTTTGATCTTGACTTTATTCTTTAATTTTCATCTTCGAGAAGGTGTGTTCTAGAGGCTTAGTTAATCAAACGAACGGGAATGGTACTGCACCAGAGAGGCGGATTCGCGTCGTCCCAAACTATCACAACAAAAACAGAACGGAGATTTTTCCAAATAGCGAGCCTAGGGAAAAAGTGAGGTGCCCTTCGGAGACTGACAGTCTCTATATTCTGGTACCGTTCTTGGTTTCACGACAGGTCACATATGAAAAATGCTATGGCAGTCCAAAGCATAAAAACTCGCAGGTGATATTAAAATTTAACACGGCGCCTTTGCGGATAAATCCCCTCAAAAGACGTGTGTGAAACAGCTCAAGCACAATTAATAAATATCAGTCCTGGAGCTTGACAACTATGCTTCCCCTCTTCAGACACTCCAGTCTCAAAAAATTTATAGATATTCAAAAAAAAACGGAGTTCAGGTCATTTTGAAAAGATACTGCGAAATACCTTGGTCCAGAACCATGGCGGCAAGCGTGTTCAAGCGCCAGCATCTGAATGTGCGTCAACACGATTTAAGTGCACGGACTGGTGCTAACGTATTTGGGAGGGACCTCGCTGCGCGCGATGGCTCATCTGCTCTTCAGCTCCCATCTCAGCGAAATGAAAGTAATTCCATGTTTAGGACATGAATATAACACCGCCGTAGGCTTATATATAGAAGGCAAAACAGTTAACGCTGAAAAGTGCGAAGAAACAATTGTAGGTCGCAAGATTTTGCCTGAGCCTACAAGGGAAGGAATTCTGGCCTAGATGAACCCATCCTTTGTGTAAAAGTGACAATCAACCAATCCGCAGAATCTAAAAAAGAATCTAGTGCAATAGCTACCTATCAAATCGTAGAAATTGAACCCTGAGCAGTTTCCTCACAAAAATTACAAGACAATTCACCTCACCAACTCTCTTCACCTTCCCATTTGAAGTCCATCTGTTTCCCGCTTCAAATATGACAGGAACCATCTGTGCGCTGTTTCAAACACATTCCCGGCGGATCTTTTTTGCTTTATTCTTATTTGCCTGCTAGTTTCGCGCTTCAACTATGCCGGGAACCATCTATGGGCTGTTTCGAGTACTATCTCGCCGAGGAAGGAGCGGAAGAGCAGATGAGTCATCGCTCGCCGCGAACGTCTCAGGATACTTGTCCACCGCTTAGCTTCTCTCCTCTTTCCTTTTTCCTTCCTCCTTCCTTCTTTTCCTCCCTTCCTTCTCTCTTCCCTTTTCCCTTTCCTTCTCCCTTCCACTGCTGGGCCAGTAGACGCGATGAGAAAATACCTCTGGACCCTCGCAGCGAGAGCATGTTCGGTTGACAACAGGCCCTGTAACCCGCCGTGAGCCGCGTGGTCCCTCCTCCGAATCCGATAGCGCCCACGGCTTGATGCTACGTTCATTGTGCTCACACTTCCCTAGTGTACATGCTTGGCACCCTTTTTTCCAATAATCTCATTAATTTCGTATTTTCCATCGTACCTCTTTGTTTTCCTTTCTTCTACTTTTTCATATTTATGTCTCCTGTTTTCGCATACCTTCTGTTTTTTTGGTATTTGGATTTTCAACTGCTGGCGTATTCATGGAACATGATGTGACACTGGTTTTTCCTACAGGTAGATAAACAATAAAGTACTGGTGCCTTCGCACGGCATGAATATGCCTGCAGTTAATGCCAACAGCAGTTCAACGACAGCAAGTAGCAGCGGACGGGAGGAGGGTCGTATTTAATAGAAATTTCACACAACGCGATGGCGTACCTTGCCTTACGACATTCACTACCTACACGACAAATCGAAGTTCGACCAAAATTTCGGCTTGGGCAGAGACTTGTTCCTCGTGACGTTCTGACCCCCTGAACACGAATATCACATCCATTTGAAGCGAAAACAACCGGCTCGCTCATTCATGGGCTCTCAACAACTATGCGAAAATTGCTTGGTGCCAATGTTTTCAAGGCGAAGGTTTTCAAACTAAATGGGCGTAGTACTCTCAGCCTGGATTTTGAACTGCCCCTAGAAAGCTTCCATGTGATATTCGTATTCAAGGTGTCAAACTACATCCAGAAACAAGCTTCTGAGCAAACTTCCAGTTGTCGCATAGGCAGTGAATGTTACAAGAGGCGGATAGTGACCAAATCCATACTTGATCCTTACTTAACCTACTTGATCTACTTGCTCTGCTGAATCATCAATTCGGAGAAATACCGAAAATTGCAGTGAAAGCTCTTACTGGAGCAAAAGGAAAAGTACCCGCAACACCGAGGAGCGAACCTCTGGGATCTTGGCTCTGAAACGATAGAGTTACCACTAGGCCACGACGGCGCCGACATACGAGGTTCAACAGCGCTCACATGCCAGCACTGCATTTACAGCAAGCTTTGACCACCTACATCTCGCTTGAGAGATCCCCGTAACACTTTCAGGTCTGCACATTCGCAATTAGCATTCGACTATCACAATACCTCGGTCTTCAAAGTTGCCACGGGAAGCTGAAACCATACCCTTGTCAGGGCGAATTTCAGCGAGCACAAAATAGGACGAGACTTCGGGGTGCAATAAAAAGGATGGTACATGACACGGCCACGATGTAGAATACTGTTTAGTGGCAAAATAAAAGGGGCCAAGAGACTGCCTATGCAGGGTGCGGGCCACATGAGATCACGTAAGAAACTTGAGAAGCAGGAGAACATTAGTGATGAACACACAAGCTACCTCTGCGCAGATCGTGCCAGACATTGGAAAGAGTCCGAGCCGAGGAATTATCCAGATGAAGACCATCCTTTCTATAGCCTACACTTTTACTTTCTTTTTGCCTTTACCTACGACTTGACCACGGACCCATTCTTCTGCTTCTATGTTTTCAGCATTCATTTTCCTTTGAAGCTCGTCTTCTTCTTTCATATGTGCTATCCGTGTCCGGACCTAAAACAATTCATTCTGGTGTCGGACGTCGCTAATCGCTGAATTTTTTGCCGCAGTTCGTGAGCGGATGTGGTCGTGTGTTCCCTCTGCTGGCAAGGGGCAAAACGGTTTTACCGGAAGCGACTCGGCGGTAATCTAATCGGGGAGAGGGAGGGTGGGGAGGGCATTCGGTATCGCCTCTGCACCTTTTCCTTTAGCCAAGGTTTCAGCTTGAAGGCATATGACCAATGCAGCCCATACATAATCTCGCAGAGA